ATTTTGAAAACTAAACTAAACAATACTTGAATTTTCAATTAAACTAAATTAAAATATTATTAAATCAACTATAATTTTTTATGGGATATTTATTTTCTTATTTTTTATAGTTTATGATATTATACGATGACTTCATATCATAAAAAGATATACACCGTACATATATACACATATTTTTACATGTCTACACATATTTTTATGTGTTTACACATATATTTCGCATATAAAAATGTCTTATATTTTGAGATATCTATAGAGAAACAAAATATAAAAATAAAAAATTAGGAAAGACCATATATAACGGATCGGATACACGGATAAACGGTTATTTAAACGGATGTCAATGCGGAGCGGATTATAAACGGATCGGATGTATGATTACCAAATCCGTATCCGTTTAGCAATCGGATATCCTTAATCGGATACGGATAATAACCGTTTTTAACGGATGCGGATATTTTCTATATAAACGGATACGGATGCGGACGGTAATCGAATTTTCGGTTATCCGTTTACAGCCCTAGATCTAAACATGCGTGCAGGGGTATAATAGGGCTTTGAGATTTCATCGGTCTCTCTCAAACTCTACATTTATTGAGGAGTAATGTCTTTCCTAAAATTATGTCCCAAACTCCACATTTCTCGCTCAAACATTCTTTATCCATCGCTGACCTTTTGGCTAGCGTAGAGCAAAAGGCTGCCGGAGAAGACGAGGTTACTGTCAGATCTCATCATGAGCGGCTTCAGCGGTGAAACCCACCAGCGCCGCGACGGAGCCAAGTTAGAGGAACGACTAGCGACAGACGAAATTGACAAGTTGTCCTGTAGAACGACTAGCTCCAGGTATTGTTTTCAATTTACCTCGAATTAGAGCGAATAAAAATTAATTAGAATGATTATTTTAGAAATTAATTTCGTCAATGTTCTGAAATTTGAGTTTTCTAAAAGGATCAAATACTAAAATTTTAAAGGCCAGCAGCTTCTGGTATTGTTGTTGCTCCATTATACTCATCTTATGGATTTAATGGGAGGATTTCTTCTTTTACTTCGCTTCTGGTTTTTTAAAGTCTAATAAGTGGATGTTTTGGATCCAAAAAACATTCATTCCTTTTGTGGACCCAAAAAAATAAAGTGAGCACAAAACATTCATTCTTAAAATGCAGTGTGTTGATTCTAATATGATGCATCCATAGTCCAAGATGCAGCATGACCGTGTGAGGTATTATTCAAAAGGTTGTGAAGCACGATTCATTTACACTTTTAAAGAGGTTTTATTAAAATGAATTATGAATGTTTTTCACATTTAAAGAGCTTGTATTAAAATTTAATATGAATATTTTTTGCTTCTAAAGATGTACTCTTGAAATGCAATATGATAGCTTTGTTATGACACAATCACAGTCTAAGATGCAGTATGAATATTTTGAAGAAACTTTTATATGTGGCCTTGTGTTCATGTTTTTTTAAATTAATTAAGTATAATTTGACATTCACTATTCTGTACTCTGCACAAGATGGTAATATAACATGTAGTTGCAAATGAAATTCTACTTGTTATTGGAATTAATGTAGGCATGTTTTTTTTGTTTCTTTAATTACATTTTCCTGTATTTGGTTTACATTCACGTACAATTCTTCGGTTCTATATTTGTTTTTCAAGCAGACACTAATTTAAATTCTACCAGTACCCATACCCCATATTTGTTGCAGATTTGCAATTGTAAACTTACTGATCAATATCTTCCTAGAACTCTGCATATTGCTACTCAAAACATTGCGTTTTCACTCCTCTGTAGTGTTCTTTTGAATTTCAGTACTACATAGATCCACCAACCTAAATTAATTCATAAGGCATTTAGAAAATACTTAAAATATATGCATACACACAACTATCATGGTGCATTTGTATTATGAGTTCTTGCTTTACTACTTGAACAAAAAACTACGAGTAGTTTAGAATGGTGTTAGTACACAGTAGCAATTTTTTTGGATATTAGAAGCACAATTATTTCAGTTTTCCGGTATGTTTTTTAATTTGCATATGTAGTGCATTATCAAAATCAAGATAATGCATTATCAAATCAAGATAATACATTTACATTTGAAGATAATTCATCCTCTACATTAAGGTAAATAATCATGCATTCTGTTACTGTACATTCTAAGAACCAAAGTTCATGCATTGATGGTGAAATTCTCCTCACAAAAAAAATAATGCTTTATATTCTATAAAGTGAATTTTCTCCAAACGATGATGCATTTAAAATACTTTATGATACATTTGAATATGGATTACCTAGATAGTGAATTTTCACTAAACGAACGATGAGGATGTATTTTAAATATTTTGTGATAAATTTGAATGTGGATTAGAAACACATTGAACGTTGCCAATTTTAAAAAAATAAAATGCATATTTAAAAGATCCAAATGAAAGATGAGAGTCTTTAAAAAAATAAATTGTTGCCTATTAGCTCAAATGGTAGAGCAGTATGAACTACAGATGTGGGTTCGAATCCCGCATAGGCAAAATGTTTTTCAAATATGTATTACAAATATTCTTAATACAATGCATTTTTAGTCTTTGTCATCGCATACAATGTCATCTGAAGTCATTAATCATTAATTCATAAATTAATATAATAAAATTAGAATAAAATCTAAAGAACAAATCATAGTGCATATAACTTCACTCACTGTTCATTCGCCTTACACATATGGATATCACAGTGCATCTCATATATCGAGATAAAGTCGAAAAAAATGAGATATTTATGGAATCAATTAATTTTGGAAACACCATTATATTGTGGCTTTCCAATTAATCAATTTAATTGAGATGATATGACCACTTTATTGAAAAAAATAATACGGAGTATTGGCCTAAATATGTGGATGATGTGGCAATTTGTTTTCCTAACTTGCCCTTTTCTATAACATTTATCAATGAAGTGGCACGCCACATTAAATGCACCCAATCTCAATTACTTTTTTTTGCATCAATGAGAGCCATTAGATTTAATAGATCAATGGATATCCTCTATTCTTATTTCTTTCACCAAGCATCATTTTCACAAGAACTAGCCCCTATATATATATATGTATGTATATATATATATATACACACACACACCAAGACGGGCAGGAAGTTATGGACACCTCAGCCCTGGAAAACCTTGATATTGGAACCCCAAAGGCCTCTAGTGAAGCTCTTATTTTATCAAGGGGAGGGAGCACCAAAGCTAAAACTTATAAGCTTTCAGTCCAGACTAGAGGAATGAAAGCTGCTTTAGATCCTTCTCTTTTGGTTAATCAATGAATTTTCTGTTTTGGAACATTAGGGGAGTGCGCAGCTCATTACCCAGGCTGCAGGCACTCGTTCAGACTCATAGGGCTCATTTTCTTGCCATCTTGGAGCCTTTTGTAAAAGAAGATAAAATTCAGCTCTATGCCAAAAAACTTGGTTTCTCCTCTCACATGGTTGTGTTGAATAATAAGGCTTGGATCTTTTGGGACATTTCTACTCTCCAGTGGGTTAGCACCAAAAGTGATGCTCAACTTGTTAGCCTAGAATTCCAAGATCTCATTTCTAGTAATCATCTCCTTATATCTACTATCTATGGGAAGCACTCTGATGTTGAGAGACGTGGTCTCTGGGAAGCAATGCTAGAACACATGCCAGCTGACATGGCATGGTTTGCTGGTGGAGACTTCAACATTGTTGCCTCACTGGATGAACACAAGGGTAGTTCTCACCCCAGTGCCAAGGGCATGGCTGAATTCAATGATTGCATACTAGCTTGTGGACTCAATAACATTAACCCCTCCGGAGGTATTTTCACTTCGAGTGGCAGGAGACCTACTGGAATGGTTTGGAGAAGATTAGATAGGGTTCTCATGAACCTTAAAGCTATGAACCAGTTTGACGATATTAATCTTTCACATTTAAGTAAAAGTGGATCAGATCATAAACCCCTTGTTCTCAAATGCCTCAATTCTCAATATCTTGGCCCTAAAATGTTTAGATTCCTCAACTGTTGACTTTCACGCAACAAATTCCTACCAATGGTCAAGGAGCATTGGGAGAGCAGCAGGAATGTGAATGGCATGATTGGCTTTGCTGAAAAATTAAAAACACTCAAAGGTGTTATCAGAACTTGGAGTAAAGAAGTCTATGGGGACATTTTTCAAAATGTTAAGAATGCAGAACTACTAGCCTCTGAAGCACAGGCCAAATACGAGTATAACCCCTCAGAGGACCACAGAGCTCAAGCTAACCTTGCAGCTGCCAAACTCATTCAAGCTTGCAAATTGGAAACTAGTTTCTGGCAGCAAAAATCCAGAGTTACTTGGCTAAAGGAAGGGGACTCCAACACCAAGTTTTATCATGCTTTTGTCAAGGGGAAGAGGTCAAAACTCAAGATTACTAATATCAAGGATGACATGGGCTTAAGCCATGTGGATGAGGATAAGATTGGAGAGAGTGCAGTTCATCACTTTACTTCCCTTTTCTCTGAAAACAAAACATCAGACCCGACGAATATCCTTAGCCTCATTCCCACCAACATTACCGAGGAGGATAATCTTTTTATGAGGAAGCTCCCTGATCTTGAGGAAATCAAAGGGGCGGTATGGTCTTTGAATGAGGATGCTGCGGGAGGGCCAGATGGTTTCAATGGGAGGTTCTTCAGAGGGTGTTGGGATTTCATCCAACATGATCTTCTCCAAGCCTGTCAAGAGTTTTTCATTGGTGTTAAAGTTCCCCCGACCTATGGCAGCACCATAATCACCCTTATCCCTAAGGTTGACAATCCCATCAAATGGAAAGATTACAGGCCCATCTCCCTGTCCGTCCACCTTCATGAGCAAGATTACTACACGTATCCTGGCCACCAGACTGAGCACACTGCTGCATAAAATTATTGGGCCTGAACAAGTAGGTTTTCAAAAGGGAAAATCAGTTGATGATCAAATCCTCTTGGCACAAGAAATGGCTCATCAACTACAACGCAAGGTTGAAGGGGGAAACATCATCATCAATATTGACATGGCAAATGCCTTTGACAGAATAAGTTGGTCCTTCCTTGAAGCTGTTTTGCTTAAAATGGGTTTCAACAGCTTTGTAACCAATCTTCTACTGGTAATCTTCAAGCAACGAGGATGTCTATTTTGATTAATGGAAAGCCAAAGGGTTATTTCAGTATGAAGAGAGGAGTGAAGCAAGGCGGCCCTCTCTCCCCATTACTTTTCATAATGGGCAGTGAGGCCTTGAGCAGGGGTATTCAGCATGGAATCCATACAAATTTCTTAAAACCTTTTAACAGTGGTAGGGGGCCTGTCATCACACACTTGGGCTATGCTGATGATCTGGTGGTTTTTCTCAATGCCAAAACAAGGAATCTGCTTCGTTTCATGTCCATCATTAAGGATTATCTCCAAGCTTCAGGTCAAGCAATTAATTGGCAGAAAAGTAAGTTCTTTGTCAATCCAAAGACTCCTCTTCAAAAGTGCATGCAAATTGAAAAGGCTTTAAACATGAAGGGTGGGAATCTGCCCTTCACTTATCTTGGTGGAAATATTACTAAGGGCATTCTTAGGAAGGAGGATTGCAAGCCCATTATAAACCATTTTGAGAAGATGCTCACTTCTTGGTACTCCAAAACCCTTAACCCTATGGAAGACTTATCTTGATCAAGCATGTTCTCTCCTCTATTCCTTTACATCACATGGCAGTTAGTGAGCTTCCCAAGTCGGTTACGAATATTTTGCACTCCAAAATGAATAATTTCTTTTGGGGATTCACCAACGGGAAACCTAAGAGACACTGGAAAAGTTGGGACTACTTGTGTAAACCCAAAAGAGAAGGAGGACTTGGGATCAGAAATCTTGATGAGGTACAATTGGCTTATTCTACCAAACTGCTGCGGAAAGTTAACAATGTGGAGAATCTTTGGACTTCCTTTATCAAGGCCAAATATATATCCAACCGGGAACTTTTAAAAGCTAATCTCCAGGACTCACCCACTTGGAAGAGAATCTGTAGGGCTAATGGAAGGATAAGTGAAGGGGATTCCAACATTCTCACCTGCCCTCACTTCTCCATGAAGGAAGAATTTAACCTAGCTCGAAACATTAATCCTAGGATAATGTCCTCCACCTTCATCTGGAATAACCTCTTGCCTAGTATGATTCAACTCTTCCAATGGAAACTACTCAATGGTTGCTGTGCTTTCCCCGAAAATCTTCGCAAAATCCAGTTACAACTCCCATCCAGGTGTGTTTTCTGCATGAGGGACTGCGAGAGTGCTGACCAATGCCTTCTACATTGTATGGTTATCCGGAATATTTGGAATCACTTTGCTAGCTGCATGGATGGCCCAGCATGGAGAGAAGGGATCAATCTTAGACAACACCTCTTCCAATGGTGGTTTTCTTCAACCAAGAGGAACTTCTTAGGTATCCTCAGATCTTGCATGCCAGGGTTCATTACCTGGGCCATTTGGAAGGCTTACACAGCTTGCACTTACGGTGGGGAACGGGTCAATCTCAAAGTAATACATGCCAACATCATCGGCTTGTTGCAAGGATGGGCTCAATCACAAAAGGGAAGGACGTGGATGATGAAAACCAATGGGCTGGAAGACACCGGCTTGGACACCGGCTTTTGCGACTGTTGGAACCAGGGAGGTTTAAGTAGGGCAGGAACGCGGAGGTTTGACATTGATGTAGTATAGCTTGGCGTAGTCGTGTATTTGATATCATTCCTTCTTTAGGGGCTTCGGTCTAGTCCTCCCCGAACGTGAACGTGTGTATTCATCTCTTTCTTAATAAACTTGGTAAGGGTGCCTGGACCTTACCCTACCGCCTTTGGTGGACCGTTTCGGGTTAATATATATAGGGACCGTCATCGCCGGACTCCCGCCGCCGCCGCCGGGCTTCGGCCGCCACTGCTGCTCCGCCGCCCTTGACCGGTGGTTGACCGGTGTTGTTATTTTATTTTTAATTAATTTTTTAATTTTTAAAATTTAAAAAAAGGTGAGTTTTGGGGTTCAAAGTGGTGAGCTTTGCTTTATTTCCAGGTGAGCTTTGCATTGTCCATTGGTGAGCTTTGTAGTGTAGTGTGGTGAGCTTTGCTTTATTAGCTTTTTTTTAAAAAAAAGTGGTGAGCTTTGCATTGTTCCTTGGTGAGCTTTCCATTGATAGTTAGTGAGCTTTGCATTGATAGTTGGTGAGCTTTACACTTTGACCGCCCATGACCAATGGCCACCACCGATGACCCCCACTGTTGCCGTGGACCGGTGGTTGAGCGGTGGTTGAGTGGTGGTGTTATTTTTTTAACTTTTTTTATTTAAAAAAAGTGGTGAGCTTTGCATTGACAGTTGGTAAGCTTTGTATTGACAGTTGGTGAGCTTTGCATTGGCAGTTGGTGAGCTTTCCATTGACAGTGTTGTGTGTTGTGTCATCTCATTGAAGCATGTCATCTTACCATAAGGTGTCATCTCACTGGAGTCAATCCCATATATATATATATATATATATATATTATTTTTTATTTTTTAATTTTTTTTTGGTAGACAGGGATGGGGATGGGGATGGCCAAACCCCTACACCAAGGCCAAAGTAAAAGAAAACAAAATGAACCAAACAAATGGAAAACAAGAGCTAGTAGCTAGCTAGAAAGTACAATAATGAAATGAAAAAAATCTAGGAAGAGGGCCACCCAAGTAAAGTTGTAGCAATTAGCAGTCACTAGAAGGTATCCAAATGTGAAAGACATGAGGCTGTGGGTCCTTCTATGCAATTGAGCCATCCAATTGAAATGGGAAGGCTAACTTCGATCTGTTGGGGAAGAGTTCTGTGCAAAATTGTCCCTTGAGAAATATAGTCTTCTTAAACAAAGCAACCTTGAAACAGGAAAACGTAGACTGGGAACTTTATTTCCGGACGTATGATAAACTTTGTGGAGTACACATTCAATTCCTCAAATACTATTTATTCTACTTTGGCATTTTTGTCTATATTATTTATTTATTCCAGAAAAAATATTATACCGAAATATTTTTTAGAATCGACAAAAATTTCGTTCGAACCCGTGCATCGCACGGGTAAAAATACTAGTTTTATGTTGATTTTGGAACTCAACCATTTTTGACTTTTTGATAGTTTTTTTGTTGTTTGTTTAGGCAAAATTACCAAAGTTACTTCCAAATTAAATTTGGTATCATTTTTATTAGGCCATTACCTAGTAATAAATTTTTTTTAGCAAATCTATATTGAATTTGATATTTTTGGTTGATTTTACTATTTTACCTTTTTTTTTTGTAAATTTTGTCTAAAACTCAACTTTTCGGATAATCCAATGATCCGATCCGAAAAATCAGATATCTGAAATTCAGATATCCGAATATTTTAGGATCGGATATGGAATGAGTTTTACATGATCTGAAAATTTTGGATATCCGAAATTTCGAATCATATCGGATTGGATCGATTTGATTGAACACCTCTACCCCCGGATCATTCCATGACATTTCGGGCAATGTCATGAGAACCTGAGTGTGGTTAATATCATTGCATAACTAAGGAGGGTGTATTCAATTCGAATTTTAAAAGATTTTGATAAATTGTTTAAAATCTATAGATTAAATAAAATCAACGAATTATTTTAAGTCTATGCAGAGTTTGATAGATTTTGATGTATTTTTCAATGGAATTTTGTATGATTGTTTATTATCCATTATTACTTTTTTTGAGTAAATTCCATAATTGGTCTTTTATAATATGGGGATTTCTGTATATAGACCTTTATTATCAAATATTAATTCCGTAGTCCCTTTTTAAAGGGTACTTTTCCACGAATGGTCCTTTTTTGATCTTATGTCGTGTTTGTGTTAATTTAAAGGCTAAAAGTATAATTTGACATCAACATTATGTTTAGTGACGTGTTATGATATTGGTTATGCGGATAACACAAAAATAATGACTATGGTTGTGGGACGAAAGACCACATTTGTCGACTATGGTTGTAGTAGAAAGCGACTGTAATTCACAAACGACGCAAACAGAACAGCCTTTGAAATTGTATATGACAAAAAAGATATATTATCATTGTGAAATTACACATTTAGCTCTCAAATTAACACTAACATGATAGAAGATCTAAAAAGGACTATTTGTAAAAAAATACTTATAAAAAAGATCACTTGAATAATATTTGATAATAGGGGACTAATTAAGGAAACCCCTATTATAAAAGGACTAATTATAGAATTTACTCTACTTTTTTTATTCTTTTCTATTTTTCTCCTTTCTCAGCTTTCTTTTCTTCCGCTGTAACATCGTGCCGTTCGTGCGTCCCTTCTTCTCTTTTCTCCTTCTTTCTTTTTTTCTTTCTTTTTCTTTCTCCTTTTCCATCTTCCTCATCTCTCCTCCGTTCCTCCTATCTCCGCCGGCTCCATCAACATGGATAATGTACTGATCCTTTTTCCGACGCCCAAGGAGATCGAGACCGCCGACAAGGTCCCCCATTTCGTCGACACCTTCTACAACCTCGTCACGGACATTTACGAGTGGGGTTGGGGCCAATCCTTCCACTTCTCCACCTCCATCCAGGGGAAATCCCATCGCGATCTGCTCGGAGTTGAAGGCCGGCGACCGAATCCTGGACGCCGGCTGCGGCGTGGGGGGTCCGATGCGTTCCATTGCTGCCCGTCCTGGACGCCGGTTTCCCCTCTTTCTTCAATTTCCCCTTGTTCTTCTTCCCCGTCTCCATCCCCGTCCACCGTCCCTGCCGACGAACGCATGTTTCAGTCCACCGCCGATTGCAAGTCAGTTGGCTTTTTTTTTCATCATTGCACAAATCAGCCGTTTACAACCAAATCCATTGAAATCTCTAGATGTTTTCATAGATTTGTAAAATGAATTTTCTTGAGAAAAATAACCTCAATTTTTTTGGGGTTTTATTCAAATGCAAAAAAAAACAAATTTCCTCTATGAAACCTTTTTCAAAACAAGGTTGAATCTGAGCCAAATTCAAATACTAATGCCAAAATACAAAGCAGCAGTCCACCAGTCGTAAGCCAAAACCTATCATTCTCTGTTTCAATAGCCTTGTGTTGGTTCTCCTGCACAGGTACATTCACATGTTCAAGAGCATGATATTATGATAATAGGATTGTTCACAAGAAAGAACTGTAGGAGCGCTATTGTTTTACAACGAGGTGTATAACCTTATTAATCAAAATAGTTTCCAGAAAACAATTTCAAAATCCATGAGCATTTAAACTCTTTTAACTCCATCTATGAGATAATACAGTTCCCCCATGATTAATTATTGGAGATCTT